TCAGCAATTTTAACAATCACAACTTGTTCTCGGGCCCCCGTCTACTTCAATGCAAGCAGAGCCTCCATAGGTCCCTAAGAATTTGTATGGGGGTTTATAATACTAGGCGCTAATACACTATACATCCATTTCTGCTAATTGAAGCAGATCCCCATGACGTCCAAAGGGTTAAAATTACAGCATGGGATCAACCACATCCATACACTGGCCTTCCATACCTTGCTTTCTCTTCATCTCTCTTCTTTCCCTCTTTATTCAGCCTCAGCTCCATCATCAAGTGGTGGTCCCAGAACTCAGTGAAAGAGATGCATTGTCAAGATTCAGAGATGTTTGTTAACATGGAAGAGAGCCTACCTTGTATCTTGAAATGCACACACTTATTTAATGTGTGTGTTTAGTATCCAATCTTGTTTATAATACTAGGCGATAATACACTATACATCCATTTCTGCTTATTAAGCAGATGCCCATGGCGTCCAAAGGGTTAAAACTTAAAGCATGGGGGTCCACCATATCCATACATTGGCCTTCCATACCTGGCTTTCTCTTCATCTCCCTTCTTTCCCCTCTTTATTCAGCCTCAGCCCATCATCAAGTGGTGGTCCCAGAAACTCAGTCAAAGAGAGGCATTGTTGATTCAGAGAGGTTTGTTAGCATGGGAAGAGAGCCTACCTTGTTATCTGAAATGCACACACTTCTTAATGTGTATGTTTAGTATTCAATCTTGTTATCTGAAATGCACACACTTCTTTAATGTGTATGTTTAGTATTTTTAGTATCCAATAGGCACTTCTTAATGTGTATGTTTAGTATCCAATCTTGTTATCTGAAATGCACACACTTCTTAATGTGTATGTAATGTTACTATATACCCTTATCACAATGTCCCACATGATCCATAGACTTGCACACTGTCTTGCAACCACTCTTGTAGCATGCGTAATGCACATGTGCAGCAAGAATGATGGTTGATATAGCTGACTTGCAGCCCACCGAGAACCTTACCCATTGGTACATCACACAGCCTCATAATGTTTTTCTCTTTCCTTCCCTCCCATACATACACACACCTACTAAGACACTGGTACAGGTAGGAGAAGTCTGAGGTTCAAGAAAGGACCAAAAGGAACAAAAGGACCGCCGTTCCGAAAGTGAAAACCTGTCAACTCATCATCTACTAATGCATTGATGATTATGCATTTTGCCGAGGCACTTGAACTTCTTGTTATACAGCAAGACACGTGTGTTCGGCGCATGCGCATGCGCAAAAACATTCGCGCAGCAGTCCCGCTAACAGAATCTCGTATATATAACATAACAGCAATAGCTAAACTTCTAAACTAAAATTCTATAATTCAATGAAAAACCAGTTCAATTGTGCAGATTCGGAGTATAATATAGCCCAGAATTCAAGTGTTAGCGAGGAACCTTTCGCACGCCCGCACGAGCGCTCAGCGTTCTTGCGAACGAGGTTGAAGTGCTTTATGGACATTAACTTAATGTCAGTTCCCGCCAGGCTCCCCGTCGTGCTGAGCTTGCCGTGAATGTCGATCAATTGCTTTCGTTTAGCGTCCAGTTGTTCTTGAAGTTCATTCGTTTCCTTCGACATTTTCTTGAAGCCTTCAATGTACCCGCTGATGGTTTGTCGCTGCTTCGCAAAGTCCGCCTCGATGTCTGGGATGGTGAGACCCTCCGTTACGCCGGCTGCAATGCTGTATGAGATTATGAGGCCGATCGGTCCAAAAATCAGTCCCGCTGCAGCTCCGCCGTACGCTGCTGCCCGCGCACTTGCTTGCGCCGCTTGTTTTTCTCGTACGAATTGATCCTGGACTCGCTTCAGGGTATTCACAATCGACAGCAATTCGTTTTGCGCTCCCTCTAGTATGTTGCTAGCGTCACGTAGCGCTTCTTCAGCTTCCTTCACTTTCCCTTCCATGTCCTTCGCGAAGCCTGAAAAGTACTGGCAGGCAGTCCACATTTTCTCGCTGGTCCGTCCCCTCTGCTGCCGACAGTTCCGAGAACGCTAACCACACGCCGCTTTGTTCTTTATCACGTCACCACTACCGAGGCCTTGTCCAGACCCTCTTGCGCTTTGTCGTGACCGCCGCGGTGAGCTGCCCCAACACGACCTTTTCGCTTTCGTTGCAGAGACTCGTTTACGTCCTTGACACTCTGGACATTCTGGTGAGGTGCTCGGCGTACACCTCTTTTAAGTCCAACGCCCAGCGACATGTCGTCTTTCAGGGATTCGTAGACTTCCATGCCCTGCTTTAGCAATTCAGGTATTGCTGTGAGTTCCACGGGTACAACAACCGCCATTTTGGTGGCTTAAATCTGTAGATTGGTAGCAAATGTTGAAAAAATCGTTCCGTGGCGGAGAAGAGGAGTGTTATGGTGTGTGGACGAACTCCTTTTTAATTTATAGGCGCGCGAACGAAGCTGTCGCGTGATTCGCGGATTGCGCATGCGCGATTGCACTTGAAATGTATAGTAGCTTGCATGCCTTTGAAGACTTAAGGAAGCAAGTGTGAATATAGACTACCAGTGCTACCGATATTTATTTTACCGGAAGCTAATTTTACTGGAAGTTAATTATACCGGAAGCTAATTATACAGGAAGCTATGGCTATATACTATATACTATATACTATATACAAAAGAGCACTAGTTTTTTAGAGTGCACGTGGCTACTTGAGTTTTAGAGTGCTTCGGGAAGCTAATTATACCGGCAGCGTAGCAAGCTGCTAGGGCTACTACAAAGCAACAATATTATAGTTTTAGAGTGAACGTGGCTACTTAGTGCTTCCGGAAGCTAATTATACCGGCAGCGTAGCAAGCTGCTAAGAAGTAATTATACAGGCAGCGTAGCAAGCTGCTAGTGATACTACAAAGCAACAATATAGCCTACACTTGTTTTAGAGTGCACGTGGCTACTTGTGTTTTAGAGTGCTTCCGGAAGCTAATTATACCGGCAGCGTAACAAGCTGCTAAGAAGCAACAATATTAGTAGCGTAGCAAGCTGCTAAGAAGCAACAATATAAATGAATCTGATTATACCGGCAGCGTAGCAAGCTGCTAAGAAGCAAATATAATAATTATACCGGCACCGTAGCTTGCTGCTAAGAAGAAATGAAAAGCACTGAAGTGCAAACCCTCGGCGAACTGCGCGGTACCACTAATTGATGGGCTGGGCTTTTAGTATGCGTTTACTCGTGGTATCCACGCTAGTAGCTCGCGGAGAGTCTGACACGGACTAGCTACAGTGTAAATAGCATGCGGGAGTCGAACACTAGTGGATTCCTAACTTACACTTTCGTGTATTATTATTTTTAAAACTCGTTGGTACCTAGCCAATACATTTTAACTTGTAATATAAGGAAACCTCAGCAATTTTAACAATCACAACTTGTAATTTAATAGAGCTGCTATATAATAATTTATACCTGACTCTCTTGGAGGGAGTGACAGATACAAACTGAACGACAGAGGCTCCATCCTGAGGAGCGGTGGTAGTGTGTTGATTGATGATGGGAGGCCAATTGAGTGAGGTCTTCAGAGATGGGAGTTTGACTGCGGAGGAAGGGAGTTAAGTAACTAACCCCTTTTAACAGCCACTGGGATACACCCTATTTAACCCTTTGGCCGCCATGGGTATCTCCTTAAATAAGCAGAATTGATGTATAACATGCTAACGCCTAAAAATTAGTATTATAGCTGTATATATAATATATAAATTCTTATGGACTTATGGATGCTCTGGGCATAAAAACATAATATAATATGCCCGTGGCTTGCTAAGGGTTAATCGTATAAGTTACAATGAGACTGTAATTATATTCTATTCTGCAAAAGTGTGAATGTTTCCCGCAGTTTAAAACTTTTCAGTTACCCACTAATCAAGGGTATTGCACAGTAATTAACCCTTAGCAAGCCACGGGCATATAATATGCCCAGAGCCTCCATAAGTAAGTCCATAAGAATTTATATATGGCTATAATACTGGGTGTATACATGTTATTAAAGGAGATACCCATGGCATCCAAAGGGTTTAATGACGTGTCTTGTCTTACCACATTGTTGTTGTTGTTGTGCAGTGAAGCTAAGGAGGTCAGCAATAGGGACCTCTGTACTTGGTTTGGTGTCAAGGAGGTGTCAGTGGGAGAGAAGGTGGAAGGATTAGTGATAGAGGGAGAGGGTGGTTTCTGAAGTGAGAAGTGTGTGCATTTCAGATAACAAGATTGGATACTAAACATACACATTAAAGAAGTGTGTGCATTTCAGATAAACAAGATTGGATACTAAACATACACATAAAGAAGTGTGTGCATTTCAGATAACAAGATTGGATACTAAACATCACATAAAGAAGTGTGTGCATTTCAGATAACAAGATTGGATACTAAACATACACATAAAGAAGTGTGTGCATTTCAGATAACAAGGTAGGCTAACTTCCCATGCTAACAAAACAAGCCTCTCTGAATCTTGACAATGCATCTCTTTGACTGAGTTCTGGCATGATGGAGCTGAGGCTGAATGAAGAGGGGAAAGAAGAGAGATGAAGAGAAAGCAAGGTATGGAAGGCCAATGTATGGATGATCCCCATGCTTTAATTTTTTGCCGAGTACATTAGCGCGAGGCAACTACTCCGATTGTATTACGCACGTCGTAAATTAGCCACGCTTAGGAATGTAAATTAGTCACTAAAAGGAATTGTAACTTCCGTCATTCGTAGGAAGTCTAGCTTCCGCCGTGCGCAGTTTCGTAGGCCAGGAAGTCTGGCTTCGCGCGCAGTTAGTATATATAGAGCGCGCGCACGAGCGGCCTCAATTGGGGCGCGAGGCAAAATAATTATGCGCGTGCGCATTCCTAGTTAATAACCCTTTGGACGCCATGGGGATCTGCTTAAGATTCGCCATTATTGCGTGGAGTCGATATTTTCAATAGCGCAAATTACCCAGCTCTAACAGCAGCATAGCGAGCTGCTTGGAGTAAAGAGAGTTAATTATCACATTCTCTTCAATACGCCGGTTTAGTGGACATACACTACAATAACAGGATAAGAGCAGCTATAATGGTGTGTGATATGTACATTATGGATGATGAACAAAGCAAACAGCTTTTAAGAGTGTCAAGATTAGAAAAGGGCCTTATTAGGAAGGTACTTGACTTCCAGTCCCTCAGGTAGCTCATTCAGTGATGAGACCTGATAGTTGCCATGACTACCAGGTCCACCTGTGCCACATTTCCCGGCTAATCTCAGGGACCTCCTCGCTGGCGACATGATGACATCAGCTTCCATCCTCTCCCTGGGAGAAGTATAATAGTATTTATGTGTCTGTGACTGGTTAAGTGTTAATAGAGCTGCTAATTATACCTGACTCTCTTGGAGGGAGTGACAGAGACAAACTGAACGACAGAGGCTCCCTCCTGAGGAGCGGTGGTGGTGTGTTGATTGATGACGGGAGTGTTCCCTTTTGGTGGCCAATTGAGTGGGGTCTTCAGAGATGGGAGTTTGACTGCGGAGGGAGGGAGTTAACCTCTTACAACAGCCACTGGGATACACCCTATTTAACCCTTTGACCACCATGGGTACCTCCATAAGCAGAATTGATGTATAACAAAATTATTAATGCCTAGTATTATAGCTGTATATTACTATGGACTTATGGAGGCTCTGGGCATAAAAAAAAATATAATATGCCCGTGGCTTGCTAAGGGTTAGTTACAATGAGACTATATTCTGCAAAAGTGTGAATTTTCTCCACAGTTTCTCAAAGTGTTGTAAAACTTTTCAGTTACCTACCAATCAAGGGGATTGCACCCTTAGCAACCCACGGGCATATAATATGCCCAGAGCCTCCATAAGTCCATAAGAATTTATATATTATTATGGCTATAATACTAGGTGTTAATGTGTTATACATCAATTACTTCTTATTAAAGGAGATACCCATGGCATCCAAAGGGTTAACTTAATGACGTGACTTGTCTTACCACATTGTTGTTGTTGTGCAGTGAAGCTAAGGAGGTCAGCAATAGGGACCTCTGTACTTGGTTTGGTGTCGGAGGAGGTGTCAGTGGGAGAGAAGATGGAAGGATTAGTGACTGAGGGAGAGGGTGGGGAGGGAGGTGTCTGTGGCTGAGAGAGGAGGAGATGAAGGGGAGGAGAATGGGTGTTAAAACCCTTTGGATGCCATGGGTACCCGTAACATTACCCCCAAAATCTACGGACTACGAGCTTGGGCACATAATATGCCCGTGCGCTAAGGGTTAAAAGGAAAGACATAATACAGTGAAATAAGAGGGTTGATACTTACATACATAATCAAGACTTCAAGTCTAAAGGTACATTGGTTCACTAGAAAGTTCTTGCAAGCAATTGAAAGTATACACACATTAGCTGTAGTCAAGCCAGCTAGCTCCGTTCTCTTATCGGCTGCGTGGGCAGTGAATCACAAACGTGTGTCTTCACCGTGCGTCCAAGCACCCCTCTGAAGGCTGGGGCAAGCGTTGGCCAGACTCACCTCAGCAGGAATGGGATCCTCGGAAAAGTCAATGAGAGCGAAAGACGACCTCTGCCCACACCTCCTACTCCTCCTCCTCTTTCCCCCCGTGCTCTTCCTCTTACCACTGCTACAGCTGGTGTCACTCTCTTGAGGTGGAGGGGTGGCCTGTTTTGGTGGATCACTAGCAGCACCGGTCACCTATACATAAGGAGAGATTAAGCACAGTATTATATTAGCATGTGTGTTTTAATACACGCCAAGTTGTACTTTGCATGCACCAAATGGTGTATATTATAGTAGTACGTTTGATATTTGCACATACGTTTCAGTTTTAATTTCTCACCAGATCGAATTTCTGACATATCAGTGTGATCCGAATAGTTATTGCCACACAACACGGTGTATAATACTTTCTGTCAAAAGTCAAGTTAGTCTGAGCATGCCCAGAGGCCAGGCACAAACTCCGGAGGGTCCCGTTTCGGAGGGTTCAAGGATGCGTCTACTCACCACCAGTCCGTCAGTCGGTGCCCCAGTCTGGTCGTCTTCCTCCCTCTCTCCCTCCTCGCTGCTGGCAGTCTTGTTGGCCATGGCCGCCATCTTCATCTCCTTCAGTCGAGACCTCATGGCGCTACGTCTCTCTCTGGCAGCCGCTTGTCTCTCTGACAGCTCGCCACCTGTCTTAGCCGACGAGCCCGTCTTGGACGGCCTCTTCTACGGAGGAGAGAAATGGAGAGTCTAGAAATGAGCGCAAAATACTTACAGATGGACTATAATTGGTAGAAATCTAACAACTTTTTCTGCTATTGACTTAACACACGACTAGTAGACACATAATATTGTCCAGTCGGTTCCGGAGAAGTGTTTTTGAGACGAGGGGAAGTGTCATGTAACAGTGGGAGAACTAATGTCTCTGTGCAGCCGATGTAGATAACTTTCCTCCCCTCTTCTTGTTCATGGTCGGCTGGACCTGGTGCTGTTGTTTCCAGTCGTTGCGCTCCAATTCCTCGAGATTTTTGAATTTCTGATTCATATCGTCCACCTGGATTGACACCAGGTCCCAGAATCCCTGTGTGTGTACATACATAATATAATTATCATGGGAGACCAATCACCATCCATAGCACTATACAATATGAGGTGTATTAACCGAGTGAAGCTATCCATGCCACACACTGTGAGGATGGCCTATGAGACACTGTACATATTTTGCGGATTCCTTGATGACAAAAAAACACGACTCAGGTTCACTCTCAGACGGTTCTGGGGAAATTCCCCCCCAGACAATAACACAGCCACCAGAATCTGCCAATGCTGTTTTAAAGTCAACCAGAACGAAACTTGACGCTTTCGTTCTTCTTGTAACGTACAATTATTCAGTCATTCAATGCTGCCTCCCAAACACCCCCCCCAAAAGAAGAACGCTGAAGTAAGGCACAGACCTGCAGGTCTTCAGCGGTGGTGTTTCCGCCGTCAGTCATGTCCTCGGCTCCAGTCACCAGTCCCAGGTACTGCTTCATCTTCTTCCTCATCAGCAGCTCGGCCTGACCCACCGTCACACGGATCCCATCCACAGCTGTGTATATACATATGGAGACGCCAGAGTAAGGGGTCGGGTTAAATTGCATGTACATAAGAACAGTTTTTTTGGGGAGAGACAAGATATCCTTATTAGTGAGGTGTCCCCATTTCAGGGGTTGAATTGCATGCAAGAACTGTTCTTGGGGAAAGAAAAGGTGTCCTTGTCCTCATTTCATTCAGAGATTATTAAGGGAATGTGGCAGTATATACATGAGAGCTAAATATGGGACTAAAAAGAAGCTCAGTGCAAGAAAAACAATTATGTTTTCGTTTATTTTCTTAAATTCTTGATTTGACTATATAGGTGCAGAGAAGTTTAGACAGACCTTCAACCAGATGAGCTGCATCTTCCTGGCTCTGAGTCTCCTCCTGAATGAGAGCTTCTAGAGACTCGCTCTTTTCCTTCCACACGGAACACTGGGTCGCCAGGTGGGTCTCGACGTCGTCGTGGAGACGATGGAAATAGACAAAGTCTGTACCACCACCGGCTGTGTGTGTTTGGGGGAAGAAAAAAGGAGATGGAGGAAAGAAGGTTGAAAAATGAAACGGGGAAGAGAGAGAGAGAGAGAGAGACAGAGAGAGACGAGGAAATGTGGCGAAATAAAGACGTGATGTGTAATATGTAAGGGGAATAACAAGGATAAAAAGAAAGAGACAAAACACGACAAAAGGCTTACCAGTGCCCTCAGAAGTGATAGGGTCTCCATTTTGGACACCCTCCTCTTCCTCCTCCTCCTTCTTCCCACAGACACTAGAAACCACACCCCCACACCATGCCTCCACCCCAAGTGACCTTTGACCCCCTCCCACCCCCACATTTTGGACGGTCCTTTTGGAGACCCTCCTCCAAACTCTCTTCGCCCGTCTTCTCTCCCCCAACGCCGCCATCTCTTTCCCCCGCTGTTCCGTACCTCGCTTCCTCTCCGGCTGTCTCGGTATTAACAGCTTCAGATGCACACATCGCACTCTCCGCGGCCTTCTTACTGTCTCTTTAGGAGCATCGTTGCAATCCAGCGAGTCAACAGACAATGTGTCAAACGTGACGTCGCCACTCTGTGCAGCTCTATCACTGCACGTCGTCTCCGCCGGCAGAGAAAACGGGTTTCGATCGGTCGTCATTCGGAAACTGAAAGCAAACTTTTCCCCGGGAGTTTCCCGCCGTTTTTTCGATTGACTAGCGTTGCCCGGAGTGGCTTGTCGGGCCGTGAACTTGAAGGGGCTGAAGGCACACGGACCCAAGATATCGTCGATGTTTTGAAGAGCGGACAACGCAAGGTGAGGATTCGGGCGATTTGAAACGTGCCGCGGTGCGACCCAGGCACAGTCGGGTACAGGGTCGACAGTGCTAGTAGTGGTGTTCATTGAGGGAGGAAGAGGAGGAGAAGTTGAACTGAATTCGGATGAACTGTCCGAAAAGCTCAGTTTGGTGTGGACGGGCGTCGAGTCACATTTAACCCTCTTCTTCCCCGTTGTCGCAAGACCAGACGACTCGGCGGTGTTAACCCTTTTCTTCCCGGCTTTCCCAGTCTTTTTAACCCCTACCTCCCTCACGGCGGCACCACCTCGTCCAGATGCAGTGGCAGTAGTGCTACGGGTCACCCTCCCTACCTTCTCCCCTTCACCAGTCTTTACTTCCTTCCCTCCTCTCCCTGCAGATGGTTTCGGAGGCTCAAGTTTCGCTTTCGATTTGACGGAGCTGCCATCGTGTTTACGAGAGGCTCCCGCATCATTCGCCGGCTGATTCTCGGATGCTAATCTCTTGGAAGCTCGCGATGCTGTGGAGATCTGGGGAGGTGGTCTCGGCGGTTTGGCGGCGTTTGTTGCAGCTTTCTTCCCGCCTTTCGCCTTTCGTTCTTTCGCCTTTTGTGCGGTTGTCTTTGGTTGAGTGTCTTCGCTCGTGACCAAAGCCGTATCGTTTGACTCAGTTTGGTCGCCAGAAATAGTGTCACTTCCACTAGTTTCGGGTTTTGCCGCCGTCTCTAAACCAACGGGTCGTTTTCTTGTGGTGCCAGGTTTCTCCGTTGCCCGATCAGTTGCTGCACTACTTGAAACTGCTGCGGCGCTTGATTTCCCCGCTCTTCCGGGCGCTGTGTTCGCTGCCCCCGAGCGAGGCTGAGAACAACGAAAGAAAAAGTGGAAACTCACAGAAATACGTTAAAACGCTGTCAATTTCACTCGTTGCTTGTGCCATGCAGCAGCTTATATGTAGTTACCACAACTTAAAAATTTATCTACTGCTTACCTTGGAGACTGCGGCAGTGGTGGTAACTACTAGTTTTCCTCCGTAAAACGGTTTCTTCTTCGCTGCCTTTTCTTTCTCCCTTGCCTCGGCTCTTTTGGCCTTCCACTCTCGGAGCCGCTGCAGTCGCAGCTCAGATCCCTCGTCTGGTGTGTGTGTGTGTGTGTGTGGGGATGGGAAGGGGGAGGAGAGATGAGAAGAGGGGAGTAAAAGGAGATAAAATACAGTACAAGCGGTTTAGTCTCAACATACCCAGTAAAATAGAAATTGAGCTCAAAGGGGGATAGGATAGGACCAAAAATAAAGATTCACAATAATAATGGGAACTGAAAAACTGCAAAAGGCGCCAAAACAAAAACAAAAATGCGCGCCAAAAACACCGACGCACGTACAGTAGCAGCGGGTGCGCCATTCTACACCGTCTTTCAGGTTTTAGCCCTCACCTCTTTTCTTCGGCTGCTCCTGTATTTCACTGAGCGGTATTCGCCGTCTCTCCAGAAGAAGGGCGTCACGTGCGGATTTGCTCTCGGCGGCCTTGACTCTGGCGCGGGCCTCTCGAGTCCCTAGCCCTCTGCCACGGGAGCCAGACTTGCTCTTGTGGCTGTTGATGCGCGAGTTAGTCGCCATCTTCTACCTCCTAACCTCTTGCAGAAAAAACGCAGTTGAAATTCAAATTTGACCTTTCGAACCTTCTTCTGAGCGCATGCGCACTATTTCAAGACTCCCTGCGCATGCGTAAAGTCTTATTAACGCGCACCTTCATACCTCGCTCTGGTAGTTTTCTGTCGTTTCTTCTTTCAACCTGGCAACTTCGCTTCTTGATTTATACTCCAGGAGCAAAAGAGAGGGAGAGATGGCTAAACAGACTAGCTTGCGCTTCAACAACAGAGTCGGGCTCGTTGTGCTGCTAGCCGTAGCTCTTCTTGTTCTCCTCTTCCTCCTCTCAAGAGGCCGCGGGGGTCCAAACCGCTACGTGGACGAGACCATCAAAATCTCCGAGCTCCTCGCGGCCGCCGTCCAACTCGCCGAGGCGGGCGGGGATAAAATCGTGGAGATCCGAAAAATGGACGACAAGCAGATAGGCCAGTTGACCAAGGGACTTACGAAAGAGGGGCGAGACGAATACGTAACTCTGGGCGACCAGTTGTCGCACGAGGTAATATCCTCGGGGTTCCGAAGGCTCTGGCCTCGTCTGCAGTTTCGGTCGGAGGAGAATGATCACGCAGTGGGTGTGTCGCGTGTCAAGGTCGACCTGGTTGACCCCGAGATTTTGTCTGTTGTGAGGAGAGACGAGGCTGTTGCTATGGACCAGGTTTGGAGTTATTTATAGATCCGCGTAGCGCTGAGTGTGGGGTTTACTTTTGCCCTTACTACTGCTCTGGTAGCTCAGTGTTTAGAGAGTACAGCAATACTACCATTGAACTTTAAAACATTCTGTCTTTGATGCAGTTGAATTTGTTCACTTGCGCTTTGTTTACTCACACCGCAAAACACAGAACCTCTACCTACATAGTTAATTTTCTCTCTTGTCCTTGAATTGCACTTTCCCTGTGAGTATATGTATAATATACACACTGGTAATATGTGCACTACTTTCTTCCCCTCTTGTGCATGTTACACTTTCCTCTCTCTTGTGCATGTTACCTATGTAGGTGGCGGTGTGGATCGACCCTCTAGACGCCACTCAAGAGTACACTGAAGGAGTGAAGGACTCCGAACTACTGAAGTACGTGACTGTCATGATCTGTATCGCAGTGGAAGGAAAACCCATTGCCGGCGTCATACACGAGCCTTACACAGAGGACCCCAGAACTGGTTAGTCCGGTTCTGTTCCACTTTTTATCCAAAACCAAATATTGTTTACGTATGTAGGTGTCTTTGAATACGGAACACGACAAAATTTTGTACAGTGTGCAAAATTTTGATGTATTGAACATCACGGATTTAATGGGCAGCCTAAAGTTAGACAGAATAAGGAGATTAGATAGATGGAAATGAGGAGAAAGATATAGGGCGAAATATATTTGAACTTCCTCTTCCCAGCGCTCTTGGAGGATGGTCTATGAAATGAAGAGATGATGTGTGTGTGTGTCTTGTTGCAGGAATAGCGGGTGTGACAAAATGGGCGTGGGTTGGTCACGGGGTGTCCAAGACCCTCCAGAGAGATATAGTGTCGGACGGGAGCCAACACGACGGATCGGTGAAGGTGATTGCCTCGCGGTCCCACGCGGGAGACGTCTTTGCCGTGGCTCAGACTGCTTTTGGGAAAGTTGAGAAAATCGTCGCCGCTGGAGCTGGGTACAAGGCACTTCAGGTGTGTGTCTGTGTCGTCTGTGTTATTAAAGGGAATGCTGCAGTACGTAAGGGCAAATTTAGAAATGTTACTAAAAATGGAAACTTAATTGCATTCTTGCACTAGCCTTAGAAAATAGCAGGCTATAGCCCTTCCCTGCAGTGCTGCACAAGTTGTTATGAGGGAAGCCAAGGCAGCTGTACTGTTATACTTTATACTGCCACTTTACCTTTAACCTGTCCACATTCTAGTGTGGCAAGGTTTTTATGAACTTTGTGGCCAGTTTCGTAAAAGTCCACTACTATTGTTGTCTGATTGTCACCCCTCTGTGCAGGTAGCCGAGGGAAAGGCCGATCTCTATCTCCACACCACCGCCATTAAGAAATGGGACATCTGTGCTGGAGACGCCGTACTCCGAACCCTGGGTGGCCGCATGACAACGAGAAACGGTCGAGAGATCGACTACGGTCTCGCGGGGAATCCCAAGAATTCGGACGGGATCGTTGCCACGGCAACGGAGAGCAGACACTCGGAGTATCTAGCGAAGCTAAGAACAGGGGCGCCCCTTTAGTGTTAGATTATCATTATTCACCACCACACACAATCTCTGGTATATAATGTCAAGTCTCTTTGGTATATTGTGTTGCCATTTCTCTATATATGTGCACCAATTTTGTGTATATTACTATCTGCAGGTAATTTCATGGTTCACTCACCCTCGAAAAATGCACCGTGCGCATGCGCACAATAAATGCGCATGCTTTCTAAATAACGCGCGTCCCACCACCTGTGCGCGCTGCTGTGCATGCACTTGCCTACTCCAAACTGTTCCAGCTCAGCTCAGCACAGCTCCGCAATTGGTACTTGAAGATGGTATGAACTCGACTAGTGTTTATACCATGTAAGAGGTCTAGCTGCGTCTGTACATTCGTCCCTCCAGAGGCCGCTAATGCTACACGGTCACGAAAGAGCCATCACGCAGATCAGGTATAGATAGCTACTACATATAGTACTAAACCCTCGAGTCTGGCCTGTTTATTAAAATTTGAATTGTACAAGACCAATCCACTATTGAACATGCCTCGCTACATTATTTTCCCCACTCAACCTTATGTTTGTACGAGCACATGGTAATGCCAGTGCTGGTAGTAGTCACCTAGCGATGGATTTACTATCTCTCTCTTCCCTCTCTCCCCACCCTCTCAATCAGATACAACCTGGAAGGGGATCTCTTGTTCTCCGTTGCCAAAGACAGCAAACCGACAGTCTGGTATTCCAGTAACGGAGAGAGGCTGGGGACCTTCAATGGCCACAATGGAGCAATATGGTGCATCGATGTCAACCGTATCCTTACGACCATTTACTGACACTTCTCTTTATTTACCTCTGAGAATTTTAGGTGAAAGTTGAAGGGTGTTCGGGTATTTTTTGCGAACACTTTTAAATCTCAGTATTTTAGGTGCGGAAGTTGAAGGGGAATCAGGTAGTATTTAACTGTTGGTTTTTTATTCCGAGAAATGGGTGTTTGTTTCCCTGACGACGACCCCTGTTACCAGGCGACACAAGTCGCGTCCTCACGGGCTCGGCAGACAACTCCACTCGGCTGTGGGACTGCGAGACGGGCACCACGCTGAGCGAGTTTGAAACCGGTTCTGCCGTCCGGTCTTGCATGTTCTCTTACTCCAGTAACCTGTTTGTCTATACTACTGACGCCACCATGGGCAGCGTGTGTGAGATTTATCTCTACGACGTCAGGGACCTCGAGGCTCCCGTTAGGTGAGACAACTCTTTCTTCGTCTTTTGTTTGGCGACGGAAGGCACTGGAGTGTAACTCCTCAGGGGCAAATAGAGTTGTGCGTATATTATGTGTATGCATGCAGAAGTCGTATTATTGAGCCATTGGTACTCTTGTCATAATGCACGCTGTGTGTCCTGCTTGTGTGCATTACAGTGCCAAGTGCTAATGGTGACTTTTTCGCTCTTTGCCCAAATTCTCGGTCCTGCTGTAAGCAATACACACACGAGTGGCGTATCGAAAACGATCCTCAATCATTGCCGATTAATCTGATAATGGTCCCGTGAGGTCATGTGATAGTCACGTGACAATAACAACCCATAAATGAATGTTATGCATACCAATGCCTCCCTCTCGTGCGCAGGGTCATTCCAATAGAAGGTTCGAGGATCTCGGCAGCCGTGTGGGGACCGTTTGATGAATTCCTCATCACCGGTCATGAGAACGGTGCAATATGTCGCTATGACGTCACCAGAGTAAGCCTATATACATACACACTAAGTTCTCTTTAAAATTCATTGTTGCAATTAGGTATATAGGAGTTACATTATACATGAAATGGAAGTTTAGGCACCCACACTCACTTACTTCCTTATAGCGACTAGCGACATTTTGATAATTTCTTGAGTTCGGGGCGAGAGCACCCTGAATAAAGGGCACATTGATGTCGTCCCCAAGGCGTCCCTATTCAGAGGTTTCAGTGTATTCTGTATTTCAAACTCTCTCTCCCTCTCTCTCCCTCTCTCTCTCTCTCCCTCTGCCAGTCAGGACACTGTCTTCAGTCGGTGAAGGAGCACAAGGCCCTCATATCAGACCTGCAGCCCTCGTCAGACCAGATCATGATCGTCACCGCCTCCAAAGATAACACGGCCAAACTCATGGACTCTGAGAATCTCGAGGTTCTGAAGACGTACAGGACCGAGAGACCCGTCAACAGTGCCGCCATCTCCCCCACCAAGGATCATGTGAGTGTCATGTGACAGTCATGTGCAGTCCCCTAAAATGTATCACGTATGAACAACCAGTCCTCTGAAAAGCTCTTTGTAGTTCTGTTCTAAGAAATGGTCCCTTATAGACCTTCTTTCTCTTCTTTTTTCTTACACAAGTGTGTGCTGTTCAGTTGTCATGTGATCAGTCATGTGATTGTCATGTGATTAGTATGCATGTGTATGAGTAGTCTTGCGTCACCACAGGTTGTGTTGGGCGGAGGACAGGAGGCTAGGGAGGTTACCACGACGACCACAAAGGCCGGGAAATTCGACGCCAGGTTCTACCACTTGATCTACGAGGAGGAGATCGGGAGGGTCAAAGGTCACTTCGGACCAATCAACTCACTGAAATTCCATCCTGACGGAAAGAGGTGGGCTTCAATTAGAACTTATGTACAATGTGTCAATGCTGTTGTTGTCCCTCCCTCCCTCCCTCCAGCTACAGCAGCGGTGGAGAAGATGGCTACGTCAGAGTACACACTTTTGACTCGAGCTACTTTGAATTTGAATTCTGACACACCCACTACTGTGTGTACTGTGTTATTATAATTATGGCATTGTTGATGATTCCGTTGCTGTTTTTGTGAAGGAGACAAATGGAAAGGTCACGGCAATAACTTAACTAGTCACTCTTACAGAAATAATACTAGAGGAATGCAATGCATTTTTTGGCGAGCGAAGGCTATATTATATATAGTTTGATTTTTCATGTGCTTCATGCGTATTTAGAATCACTTGATACAGAACGTAGAACATAGTATGTGCAGCACCATCACACACATAGAAAATAGCTAGGCCCAACTATGTGGGCTTGTTTCACTTGCCAATTACATTACATGAGGTAAAGGGAGGAGGAGGTTTTTTATCCCTCCCTTGCAGTTGTCTTCCCCCTTACAAAATACACAACAATAATTAGGGTGTGCGGAAAAGTGATCTTTAATTCCGTTCTGTTCTGGTCAAATCATTGCGTTATCATTCCATTCTCTTTTGACTTCTCTTTTGAAAAATGGGTAGCGTCTATATAATTATATATATCCCCTTCGCAGCTTGCGTGCAAAAATTTCACTTTTACTCAAATTTCTGTACATACAAAATTGTATAATAAAGATAAGGTGATCATAATGACATGTCTAAACAGGTGATGTTGTGATCATAATAA